AAAACCAAGGCCCGGAACCCTCCACCTCGTCCATACACCTGCATGCTCAGCACGCCCGTGCCCATCCTCACGCGGATTCACATACTCGAAATAGACATGGGGTGGGGTGGCATGCGGCGGAGGGGGGATTGTCCTGGGGCGGTGGCGCTGGGGGATGTTGAGCGGGGGGTGAGTGTGGCTGGTGGTGGTGGGAGTGGGAGTGGTAATGGGGAGGGTGGGGGGAGGGGAAAGGAGTGCTCGGGCGGGTTTGGCGTACGGGCCTGAGCCGGGTCCTGACCCCGACCCCGGGCTCAATCCTTGGATTAAGGGTGACGCCGCGTCGGAGAGGACGGAGGATTTGGGGAGGCAGGCCACGGCGAGGTCGATCGGGTGATGGTGGATGTTGTGGTTGGGCACAGTGTGTTTAAAGTGTGTTATCTGTTTTGGGTTATTATTATAACCCATGGCGTTGGTATGTACATACAGTACATGATGGAAGGTCTAACTAAGGTTTAATGAGCGGCGATGGGCTGGATGAGTATCATGGGACAAAGATGGGATGGCGGGTATTGGGCATCGGATGGGGCATTGTTTTGTGGCAACAGAATCTACCAACAAACCTATCAATAATCGAATATAACAAGTCATGGGAACTACAAGTACAGACTACCTACCACGCGCTTGTAAGATTGTACACAAGGCAACTTTTGTCCCTGTCATGCACACACACTCTTTCTGACCCAAGTGCGAGCACGAAAAGCTGGTGCCGACTTTTGATTGCAGCCCCTGAGACCGTCGGTTTGACAATCGAGCTACCTTCACCGATATTAACGTCCGCAACCAAACGATACCCAGCCAACATAACCTCTTCACAAAATAATATCTGCTCAAGTTGATTCCCCGGCATTGCCATCTCGACTATCATTTCCCAGTTATTGGTTCTACCGGCTTCTGACAAATTAGCCACGATGCCCCTGGTAAATCCCGAGATGGAGTGCTTCATGGAGGTAGGTCAGGATCGCGATGAGAGAGGGGTGGCGACGGGCTCGCGATCGCAGCTGGTGGGGCCGAAGCAAGGTAGGTACCTGGGTACTTGCGGTGTCGCTTGTCTCGCTCACGCTCGATCTCGGTGAAACCTCCTTATAATACTCACTATTATCTATTACTATTACTAGTATTAATTACGTAGCCGGTTCCCATCTGCCACCCCATCAACGTCATAGTTCTCAGTTCGGTCACGATCATATTCGAGAGGACCTTGGGATCCGTAAGGCCCGACGCCGGGGGGTTCTGGTAACCGGTGCAGGACGTTGCTGAGATACCAGGCCGAGGTTGCTTCAGGGAAGAACATGTTGTTGATCGGGTCATTCTGCCGTTGCGGGACCCCTGGCCTTGGTCTCCAAACTGGGCGGAAGTACTGGTCAATGGTTTCAGGGATGGCTCGGAGACTGTCAAAATTGCGGCGAGGTCTGGCTGTGGTTGCGCGACGGGGTGCTTTCGGCCGCGAGAGGAATGAGTCGCTTGAACAATGGAAAGGCTGATTCTCCCCGTGGGGAAGAACCAAAACATCAAGAAGATCTTGCACTTTGGTGAATTGTAATATGGTGGGGAGATTGTCATCTTGATTCAACCCTACCTGATGATGTCAGCGGAGATACATCGGCCTCGGCGTAGTTAAAGGCATATGGAATCAGGTACCCTAAGATGGGGAAAGTTCAATGTCGTTGGGGATCGTGAAGCGGAGTGCTCATGTTCGAAGGGCATAGTGGGCAGTCGCCTTGGGTTTGGCTTTGTCGAAAAATGGAGCGCCGGATCTGAGAGGAATGGGCCACAATCCAACGAGGGGGCCGTCTAGAATATCGTGCTAGATCGGGAGGTTGTCCAAATTCGAGAAAAGTAGCTGTACGGGTACTGAGTTGGGATTATTCAGTTGGCACTCCCAAGACTCTTCTGTCGTATCCACGAGGAAACTTGAGATCTCACAAACATTATCTAGGACCCTAAGGTCATAGTTGAGCATCGAGATATGGAACGTGTAACGGCAGCCTTCCAATGGCATTCGACGTCATAGTTTTGACAGCTGTGTATGACTGGGTTGGACCTTGTCGCCGAGGTAGTACCCTGTCTCTCATTTCAAAGACGTAAACAGTGAGAACACGGGCTCGAATCTGCCATATTATTATAACACTGATCCATTGGTGTGGCCTGTGATGCACCCCAGACGCCGTTGCTTAGTTGAAATATGGGGTTGAAAACCGAAATGGCAACGCAACTAGCAGAACCGCGGCAATAGGCCAACCCAAAATACTTGGTACCTTTTTGACCTTGCGCCCCAAATAGTGCTCGAAAATGCCTCCCATAAATGTTGCTCTCAAGCCAACTGCGATCTGCGTCAGACTCCGACTAACCCGCAGTCTGCAGCGGCGAGAATCAAGATACACATCCTCTGCCTCCTTCGGGAACCCCCCACCATCAATCACCTCGGCTTTTACCAGCCCCGGCCGGACATCTTCTCCTCGGGCTTCAAGCCCGCGTTGCTGATACCCCTCATGGCCTCGCCGTGCTCAATGCTCGCCTCGATGAGCGCCTTCTTGTCGGTGAACTGGGTGGTGGCCTTGACGATGGCGCGCGCGCGCTTGGCGGCGTGCTCGGGGGTCTCGGCGTCCTTGAAGATGCCGCTGCCGACGAAGACGCCGTCGCAGCCGAGGTGCATCATGAGGGCGGCGTCGGC